GCGGCTCCGTGGCGCTTCCCCTTCGGGGCGAGAGCGCGCAGCGTGGGAGAGGCTAGCACTCCTCTCTCTGCCTAGGGGCGGTCGGCTCTGCCTGCCTGAGGCGGCCTGAGGTACGAACCCACGGCCTTGGGCTCCGCGCCTGCTGACCAGTTCAGGCCAGGCGGCCTGGGCCGTCAGTACCGCGCCCAGGCCATACCGTGGAACGCCTCACCTCAGAGGCCGGAGCGCGGGACCCGCCTCCGATACTTCGGGTTGCTTTGAGTTTTAGTCTCACAGAGCCAAGAAGCCTTCGTGATCTGTCAGGCTTGAAAAAGATCAGTAACCAATTGTTCCTATTTCTAATAGCGTGTAAATTGTGGCATTTAACTTACGGTTTTCCTCATTAGAGGTTTTCATTTTTGAGGAGACGGTGGTGTATTTCATTCACGCTGGGATGAAAATAGCCCAACGAATTAATTTTTGTTTTTAGTCATGTTATGAAACCTAAGTGCCGGTTTTAGTCATTAAGTTTTGCAGTTTTTTAGGCTGATGGCAGTTTAAACAAATACACAGGAATTTGGCAATCCCGCTTTTAAAATAAAACCAAGGGCAGGGGGTTTGGCTCAGTGGTTCTGCCGCCTGCCTCATAAGCGCTAAGAGCCTGAGTTCGATCCCTAGTACCAAGAAAAAAAACAAAAACAAAATGAAACCTAATTCTTGATTTTTTTTTCTTCAAGCTCGACTCTTGGGCATACCTTTTGCCTTCCTTTTCAACCATGACGCCAGGAACCCTCTCCCTCTTCTCACCTTGTTGATGAAAGGAAAATGAGAATAGCTAGTAAGCAAAAGAAACAGTTATAGATGCAAGTAGAACAGAAGGATCCTACTCAAACCCTGTGAATAATGAAGGCAAGTGAGAAGTTTTCTTAATTATTAAACTCTTGTTTCCACTCATTTCTCCATCTGTCCCACAACAAAGGACTTTCTTAAGCAATTCTTAACATTTTCTTCATAGAGGTCAGATGGCACCATCAGCTGAGTACTTTGAAATGAAAAAAAGTTTGGCCTTTATAATCCTTAATATTAGTATACGTCATAGCAACTCTAAAAAGTATAAAATTTAAAACTCACTATTGTTTTGTTAAACAAGAAAGAAAAGTTACTGCCAACTATGTTGTGCCACTGATCTTTAAAGCATCTTGAATTCAGAGATGTTAGAATGTGAAAAACAATGAGTCTTGGAATATTTGATGTATTGTGACGAACCGGTGTTCCACTGATGAAAAGATTCTACCAAGTTCTATTCTGAATTTAAAATACCAAAGAGGATAATATCTCATACGGGCAAGAATTGCTTTGTGAGTGTGTATTAAACTATTTCATGTAGTGAATTGTAATCAGACTTGAAAAAGAATGTGCTTAGAACATAGATAATATGTAAAATATACTGGCTGAAACACTATTTCCCTGGTATTTTTTTAAAATTTTGAGAACTGAGATTATAGATTAGAAAAAGGACTGTAGACTAGGAAAAGGAGACAAATTGCCTAATCTCATCTGCCTTGGCCCCAATTTCTTATATTGGCTTTTGAAAATCATTTGTTGTCATTTATTTTTCATGGAAAAAGTGTGCTAGAAATAAGGAGGCGTATACAATAGCCATAGCTAAATGGACATGTGACTAGATAAATTACTCTCTGCCCTTCAAATTCTGAGTTGGACCATGTGCTCTTTAAGAAAGCATTTTCAAACTCCCACTCTGCAGGTCATGATAACCACATTGGAAACTAATGGTATAACAAGATATACAAAGGACTATGTGGCTATGGTATACCAAAGGTGATGCCATGGTATAAGGGTGATGCAGATTCTTGACAGATTTGCTGTAATTCCTTTCAGTTTCACTTAACAAAAAAATCACACTACAAGTAAATGAAAGAAAAGATATTATTGGAAAGCAAATGTAGGTAGATCTTTGACAATCTTCTGTACTTTAACACTAGTAATATTTGTCACAACTAATGATTTTGACATGTCACAACTAATTACAACATGATAATATATCAATACACTACAGGTGAAAAATCTGGTTATCAGATTCTTTAAAATCTAATATTCTGTGATAATGTGTAGTTAGTATTCAATCTAGCATTTTCTTTTTTTTGTTTGTTTGTTTGTTTTTGTTTGGTTTGGTACAGGGGATTGAACTCGGGTCCTTGCTCTTGCAAGGCAGGCCATTGAACCGCTGAGCTAAATCCTGGGCCCCAATCTAGCATTTTCAATGTAACTATTAATCTTAAATTTTTAAAAATGCTTCAAAGAATAATTCTATTTTTTGAGAATAGCAGAGCATTTCACCTTGACCTAGAATGAGGAAGATATGTCTTACAGTTCTGTTTTGTCCAATTAGACACACATTTTATCAAAGATAGCTAGTCAGGATTCAAGACTGAAACCCTCTCTTCCTGGGAGAAAGTTGAGACTGACAAAACCTCAAACATAAGTAAGTATTCAACACAACTTTGAAGGCTGTAGTAAAGTGTACTGTTGTTGGTCATATTAATTGCTTTGACCAGTGGTTTGTGACTAGATGACTAAATGTGGCACGTGCTAAATCAGAGTGGAAACAGAATGCAATATTCAGGTCAGTCTCTTAGTCTTGTGACAGCCATGAGAAATACATGTTCCAGATAAAATCTCAAGGAAATAAATGGAAAAGATCTGAAACAGAGCAGCACTGGAGCAGCTGATCTACCTCTATGATATTAAATAAAAGCCAAATAAAAATAAATCAAAATATTTGTTATAAATCACAGAAAGTTTTAAGAATGCTTTTTGTACAACAGTTTCACAAATTAAAGTTAATTTGAGCCAACAAATTAGTAGTTCAATGGTTAAACACTATCAAAACATTTAAATTTGTTTTTAGTACTGGGGATCAAACTTGGGACCTTGTGCTTTCAAGGCAGGCAGCAGCACCAGTGAGCTGGCGAACATATAAATATTTTTAATTTAGTTATTTAAATCCCTGGTTAATATTTAAACATTTTTAATAAAATAAAATAATAGTCATCTACAAACTAGTCATCCAGATACTTTCTAAACTTCTACATAATATTTGTAAGTAGTAGTATTATTTGCATGCAAAATAGTTTCATTGATTTTTTTAAAAGTATTTTTGTTTAGTGCTGTTTGTCATAAATACCCTTTATGGAAAATGTGGATATAAAATATAAAGACTATGAAAATATATTTCATATAAGAATGTATTTCATATAAGAAAAATATAAAGAATAGTAATGTAAGTAGCAGTATCATGCATGAGGGAGAAACCTTTATCACAATGAATACAAAATTCCTGGAAAAATACTTTTTAAAAAAATTTTTACATATGCTGATTAACAGGTAATAAGGTAAGAGACAATAAGTCAAAAAGCCAAATGATCTGACCGAGCTAGTCCCTCTCCTAGCATCTTCCCAAAAGAATTTAAGACATCATATCACAATAATGAATGCATACCCATGTTTATAGCAAAATAATTCATAATAGCTAAATTTTGGAAGTGGCCTGTGTCCATCAACAGATGAATGGATAAAGAAAATGTGGAGTTATGTAAAATGGAGTATTTACTCTGCCATAAAGAAAAACTTAAGTCATTTATAGGAAAATGGATGCACCAGGAGATGATAAAGTTGTGAAATAAATTAGACTCACAGGCTTAAATATAGCATAGTTTATCTTATATGAGAAAACCAATTATAAATAAAGAGCAAAATAAAATATAGGTAATAGGAAGAAGGGAGATCTTATTCAGATGGGAAGGGAATAGATGGAGGGGGGAGTAAAGGGATAAAAAAAGAATTGATATGTGTAATATACATGCACCAACTCTACAAAAGAAATGTACGTATTATATATTGCAAACATATACTAAAAAAAAAAAGGCGGGGACATAAAAGTTCAGCAGAGTCCACAATACCCCACGGATATTTGCTAAACCTAGTTAATGTGAGCTTTAATTTTAGTTTTCATGACCTTGTAAGAAACCTATGACCTGCATCAATCACACACGATTACACGCATGCACACACACACACACACACACACACACGGACACAGGTGCACACATCAAACTGCAGTTCTAATGATTTTTCATTCATTGTTAAGGATATACTAGAAATAAGCTTGCCCCTTAGTAATGTTCACAGTCTTCCCCTAGAGTCTACAAAAATAAAATTAACCTTCTTAAACCTTGCCACATAGCAGATAAGAGAAAAGCAAAATCACATAAGAATTTGGAACTACAGTGCAAAGGAAAAATGGTACCTTTTACTGTAGAAAGGTAATTTGAATTCATATACCTAGCTAGTCCCAAAAAACATCAAGCTGATTTCTTTATTTATTTTATTGGTACATTATATTTATATTCTATTGATAACATTCATCATAGGAAATTTGTACCTCTACATGATATATCTTGCTGATGCTTTTTTTTCTCATTCCCATTTCTTCCATTCAACCCCTCTTCTCCTCCTTAATTACAAACACTTTATTTCCATTTTTTTCTTCTTTTTTTCTTCTCCTTTCTTTCCTTTCCTCCTCCCTCCTCCCTTGTTCCCTTTCTCATTTGAACATTTTCTTACCATTTCCCCAAAACTGTTTTGCATTTTGGTCCTTGTTTACATTTTCTGCTCCTCACACAAGAGAAACACTGCAGAATTTAAATGTGTGCCCAATTTATTTCACTTAAAAAGTATGTTCTCAAGGTGCAAGCATTTAGCAAGAAGTGTCCCAAGCTTATCCTTCTTTATTGCACAGTAGTAATCTATTATATAAAAATATCACATGTT